CATGCTATTTAAAAGGTTTATAAAATTGACTTAATAGTATTCTTACTTGGACCATGCATATAACTATAATTCAGTTGTACTCATACCATATATAACCATATATGTATATACAAATGATCAGGTGTGAACTAAACCTAATATAGGAAGGAAAGAGATTTTTTTTATAATTTAACATAACCCATTCAAATAAATAAATACTGTTCATATATGTGTGTGTGTGCATATGTACACACACACACACACACACACACACTATATTGCCAAAAGTATTGGGGCACCTGCCTTTACATGCACATAAACCTTAATGACATCCCAGTCTTAGTTAGTTCTTAGGGTTTTATATTGAGTTGGCCCACCCTTTGCAGCTATAAGCCCTCGTTTTACACCTGAACATTTTGTAGCGTGTTCTACGCTCGACGAACGCTCTACAAAACGCTCAAAAAAATCCCATTTGTATTCAATGGTCTCGCTCCCACCTTGGCGTATTTCCGCCCGTCCCTAACACGCTACAAAACGGCCCACGCCTGAAAAGGTACAGGTACTACTTTGGGCCGTTTTGTTGCGCGTTTCCATTGGGATACAGCCAAGTAGCCTTTGGAAACGCACGACGGTCACGCGACTTTTTTACCGCGAATCGCGGTAAAAAAACGCGCAACAGACACGCATATGCAATACGTCTAGGTGTGAACGAGACCTAACAGCTTTAACTCTTCTGTGAAGGGGCCATCCCAAAACTGTCCCCACAAAGTTGGGAGCACGACGTTATCCAAAATGTCTTGGTATGCTGATGCCTTAAGAGTTCCCTTCACTGGAACTAAGGGGCCAAGCCCAACCCCTGAAAAACAACCCCACACCATATTCCCCCTCCACCAAACTTTACAGTTGTCACAATGCAGTCAGGCAAGTACCGTTCTCCTGGCAACTGCCAAACCCTGACATGTCCATGGCCAGTAGGGATTGCCAGTAGGGATGAGCCGAACACCCCCGTGTTCGGTTCTAACTCGAACTTTCGAACATGGAAAAAGTTCTAATTCGAACTTAGAACTCAATGCAAGTCTATGGGGGTAGAACTCAGAAAATTAAATGTCCCCATTTTGAAGCCTTATATGCAATTAATTGGCCATAAAAAGTGTATGGGGAACCGGGTACTGCCCTGGGGGACATGTATCAATGAAAAAAACACTTTTAAAAAATACAATTTTTAAAGGAGCAGTGATTTAACATCATTTAAATGAAACATTAAAAATAAAAAATTTAGAACACGTCTCCACTTCTCTAGAGTCCAGTGGCAGCATACTTTACACCACTGCATCCAATGCTTTGCATTGCACTTGGTGATGTAAGGCTTGGGTGCAACTGCTCGGCCATGGGAACCTATTCCATGAAGCTCTCTATGCACTGTTGTTGTGCCAGTCTGAAGGCCACACAAAAGTTTGGCGGTCTCTAGCTATTGACTCTGCAGACAGTTGGCGACTTCTGTGCGCTTCAGCATGTGCTGACCCCACTCTGTCATTTTACGTGGCCTACAACTTCATGGCTGAGCACTTCATGGCATGGTTCGTCACTCCATAGAACACATCTCCACTTTTCTAGAGTCCATTGGCAGCATACTTTACACCACTGCATCCGACGCTTTGCATTGCACATGGTGATGTAAGGCTTGGGTGCAACTGCTCGGCCATGGAAATCCATTCCATGAAGCTCTCTATGCACTGTTGTTGTGCCAATCTGAAGGCCACATGAAGTTTGCAGGTCTGACGCTATTGACTCTGCAGACAGTTGGCGACCTCTGCGTAGTGTGCGCTTCAGCATGCGCTGACCCCGCTCTGTCATTTTGCGTGGCCTAATACTTCGTGGCTGAACTAGCAAAACTAGCGCCAGATAAGAACCTCCTTCAGCCACAAATTGAATCTTGTGTACCTGGCAGGCCACCCCGTTAAAGATGAGGGATTACACTGTGTGAAACATAAAAAAGAAAACATAAAAAAACAAGTTTATACACCTGTGGCGGTGATTGGAATCTCTATCTCTATCTCTAATCTCTCTCTCTCTCTCTCTCTCTCTCTCTCTCTCTCTCTCTCTCTCTCTCTCTCTCTCTCTCTCTCTCTCTCTCTCTCTATATAGAGAGAGAGAGAGCCATCCGACCAGGGGTGTACTAGGATGCCTGTGGTCTGTGGTTGGAGAGTGTGAAATACAAGCACTTAATACCCATTTGTGGGTTTATTACAGGTTTATTACACAACCTGCCCAAAAGAATCCTGTATTTTACTTGATTAAATCAACTCTTAATTTGCCGGCATTTACATAAACCATGGCTAAATATAAAGTATTCAGTAAACTAAATACCATCTGTCCCCAGGGACTCAGTTATTCCCTCAGGCACCTCCATCTTCCCTCTCATATAGTATAAAAAGGTGAATCCAGGTAGTTAGTCACAACCCAAACATCAAAGACACCCCTACTCATCCTATGAAAGTCACATGTCACTGCAGTGGCCAGAATGAGTGGGGTTGTTTAGTCTACTTAGACTGCATGTTTTCTGGAAAGAATGCATGTGCTTGATGATTATTGAGATTATGTAGGCACCAATATGCATGGGTGATGGAAGGGTTGACTTCAATTGCTGACCGACTGAAAATGCTAGTTCTCTGCTGGTCTCAGATTTCAGTTTTTTTCAGATTAATTGATCTGGAATTTGCATGCAGCAATTCAGGAGCAAACCTGGATCTGCATGCTTGCTTCTGGTAAATGTCTTAGGAGATTTTAAATCCATTGAATCAGCAGGCCAGTCGGGCCACTAACAATTTCAGTATTACAGGTCAGTAATGGCAGCCTACATATTTCCTCAAAAGACACATTTACTTTATCCTTTTTGCTGCCACCAATGTATGTCATACATCACTGGCAGCGGACCCATTTAAACTGACTCTCGATAGCTATAGCAACTCTGTTTACATGGGGAAAGCTGACTTTCGGCCTTACACTGAAAGCGATTCTGGCAGCATGTTGGGTGCACCTAAAACAAAAACGACAATCACACTACACAGGTCAGGTAGTGCTGGGTGCACCAGAGTAAGAACAATAATTCTAGGGCCAATATGCATTGAAAACTATACTGATAACCTGTAGGGACCTGTAATGAACAATTTGGGTGGTGTATTTTGTCGCCGTTTCACGGACCCACATTTTAAATGGACATGTTGTATATCTATTTACTCATTGTAACCTCATCTTTTATATTTCATTTTAAAAATGGGGTATTGTTTTTTCGGGCACTACAATTAACTTAAATTCATTTTTTACAAACTATTTGGATTTGATAAAGTCTTGCACTAATACTGTGAGACATAAAACTTTGCAACTGCCACAGATTTATTTTACGGGGTCTCTGCTTTCAGAAAATATATAATGCTTGGTGTTTTAAGTAAAGGTGCCCATACACTGCACGATTATCGTACAACAATCGCGGGAAATCCCGTGATCGTACGATAATTGCAAAGTGTATGGAAGGCGTGCAACCATTTCTACTGTACGGTCGCACGTCTTCCGTCGAACAAGCAGGCTGGAAAACCCGCCGGGAATCGTACGATTCTCGGCGAGTTAGTGGCCTGCGTGTTCGACAACTGCTGAACGGGCCGGTGTGCGCACGCGCACACTGCCTGTTTACAGTCATCGGAAGACAAAAGTCTTGCAAGAGTTGTAAAGTGTATGGCCACCTGAAGTTTCAAGCCTTAAATTTGGATTATATATCATGTGTTGAAAAATAGGCCTTGGCAGCGTAGGGGTTAAACATGACTACCCAATAATCTGTCACGGCTGAAATACTCCACAGTGAAGGAACATGTTTATATGCAGGCAATATTTAAGCAGCAGCTTTTGCAGTCCCAGTCTCTACACAAATGTCAGCTTTACCAGGCTTTGTTGGAATGTTAAAAATAGCAGTGCCATTGTCCCCTGAGGTAGCTGATCTTTGTACAGACATGAAGCTCTGCTAGCACAGTACTGCATGATCCTTGAAACCCATCTCCAGGCAAAAATAAAACTGACAAAAAATGAAACTTGAAATGTGATATGCAATAGTAAAGTGTGTAGCACTTCAAAGTAGGAAGCAGATCCTTACCTATATATAACGAGCAAATAGGGCTGCCCTAATGTACATGTACATAATAACAAATTACACAGCAACAAGGTTTTTTAAACAATACCGCACATTGATAAGATTCGTTTTTACATTTATATTGAAAAACATATTGAAAGGACTATTCATCCCCTTTTATTCTGCCGAGAACCAGTGGATGTGAGATGTGAATCATTCATTCAAGAGCTGTAATAATGATACTGTAGATAATTCAGAGGAAGAAATAAAGCTCAGTCAATCCTGGAACAGAACTATTATGTACAGATGTAGTGGAAATGTACTGAGACACTTCCCCGGATTGCACACTAACTAGATATACCAGTACCGTATCTTGCTATTGAAGAACAATTCATGTTGGCCAAACTGGATCTAATTTGTAAAAACTGGAGAAAACAGAAGCACAGCCAATCAAATTTCACGTCAACTTTGAGTACATGCTAGAAAATTAGCATTGTATTGGTTGGTATGGGCAACAACCCTGTATTTTTAATCAGCACCACTGATAAATGTTGCAATGGGAAAAATATTCCTTTTGCAAATAAATAATTCCTCTATAAAAGGATTGTGCTATAAAAAATGAAAACTAAGAATAGTAAATTAGTATATGGTTCAGTATTAATATTGTATCAATACTCCCTCCCTCATTTATTATTACACAGAAACATGAGATGGTAAATAGTATCTGTGTTATTTGTTCTCCCTTGCAACTAGAACAATGCAGGAATTACAGGATAAAGGTATTCCTTCTGTATCATAGAAATCATTTTGTGTGCATCAAATAGTTTGTAAAACAATGCAATACTAAATGTACATCCTTTATGAAATTGCAACATTGAATATGATGTGTTATGTTTAATCCTAGGTATGGCTACTGAGGCAATGGTTGGTACTTTTGTATTCTCGGCAAGCTCTGGTGGCCTACCGCAGAATGAGATAACATTTGCTGAAATTCTGAAAACACAAGGCTATTCTACTGCAATTATTGGTAAGTTTGAATGCTACATTACCCTTTACCATCCATGACAGTAAAACTTTACCCATGCTTATTTCTTGACTTTTAGTCCCATTTCACACATAGGCATTTTGTTGCTCAAAAGGTAAGTGCTACAAAACTCTTAGAGAAACTTTACCCACATCATCAAAATTACAACAAAGGCACCTTTAGAGATGTTTAGTAATGGCATTCTACAAACAGATACTTTTAGATAATTGTCAGCTTTTTATTCTTTGCCTACCTTATTTTTCTTTCTTCCTCAGTCTTCTCACAGTAGCCATTTTTACTAAGGGCAAATTAATATATCTCCCTTTTACTTCCTGGAACTTTTGCACATGCAAACAATTTGCACAAAAATATTTTTGGATAGAATAGGGAAGGGATATAACCTCTGTTAGGTGTTTCCTGTTGTGCATTGGCTCCATCGCCCAGGTAAAAAAAACAGCAGGTTTTTTTTACCTGGGCGAGAAGTGAGGGCAAATCTCCAACAGGGATCCATGCAGCAATAAAAACATGTTTTTTGCTAGTTTATGGGAAAGCTTGGACCCTCATCAGCTTTTTATTTGTCTATGTCTCAAGATTTTTGCCTCATTTCCCAATGACTCCCCAGTTAGACATTAGACAGCAATAAAAATGTGGCAGAGGTTTTAGTCTCCATTCACACCAGGGTGTTTGTAGCTCGTATTTTTCAGCACTGAAATCTCCACACAAGCCTGTGAAGTATGCACTTCTTTTTAGGAAGGCCAGCACAATGTGACCCTTTTTTCCTATTCCTAATAACGCTGATCTGCCCAAAAAAGAAGCTTGTATACATTTTTCCAGCAACTGGCTTTTGTCCTCAGTGTGACGCTGTGCTGAGACGTGAACGGGGACTATAGAAATCAATAGGATTTCTTGTGCAGAGCTTTTTTGTGCTAAAAAATATGAGCTACAAATGCTGTGTGAACGGGGACTTACTGTAATTATGCTGCACCTATGAGAGTGTTCCTACTAATAGCATCAGGAGTTTCTACATACAGTATGTTCTTGTGCATGGGAAGGTTTCTGTACACCTGACAAAGGGCTACAATGTAAGCCCTGAAACAGAAAGCTGTCGACATGTTTTAACACACTGTGAATGAAGTTCTTTTTTTTTCATCAAACTTCTGGTATTATCCTCTTAGCTGCATAGATAAGAGGGGTATATTTATGCTCAGAATTTTTCATGAGGCTTTCTGCTAGTGCTGGTAAACACAGTCATGAATGGAGTGATTTTTCTGAAACTACAAATGTTGCCATTGGACACTGTCAATTTGGCCTATTAAGTGGCAACGTTTGCTTAAATAATTAATGTGTGGATAGGAAGGGGTTGTATTTAGGCTAGCTTACTTTACTGAATGTATTGTACTTTGTGTTTTTGTGTATCTGATTGTTATTTGTGTGCAGTGTCACTTTGATTTTTTTTATATCCTTTTCTCATTTTGTATTCTGTCTGTAAACCAAAAAGACTGATGGGGTCCATATTCTGGCACAAGAGATGGTCCAGGACAGGATGGTTAAATGGAGCTTCTGTAAATCCAAATGAAAGCCCATTGCACACTTAAAAATAAAAATAACCTCCACTATGGACTCCAATGTGTTAGACTATAGGCTTAGTCTATACCCTGTGCTACCAAGGGAGTTAACACAGTTACTGTAGTTCCCACAAAGTTTAATAGTACAGTGTACATCTGTCATATATTCACCCTTTTTCCCTTAACCTTCCTGGCGGTAATCCCGAGTGTGGCTCTGGGTTAATTTTCAGTACCAAAAGCGGTAAGTCCGAGCCACACTCGGGATTACACTGTAACATTACTTACCTTGTCCATACAAGCCCCTCTGTGTCCTCAGGCTGATGCCGGCATCCGTCTTCCGGGTTCCTTCCCTGCGATTGTCGGCCTCGTGGGGGGGGGGGCGGAACCGGCGGGAAATTTGAAAGAAAAAAACATATAAAGAGAAAAAAATACTGAGATAATCAGACTGCCAGGGAGGTTAAACTATGGTCAAACCTTTTCTTTGGCTATAGTTTAGTAATGTCCTCCTGTAACCCAAAGTCAGCATATAATGGTCTACTGTCTGCTATATGCTAACAGCGCATAGCCGTGCTGCAGCCAGGAAAGACCCTGATTGACAGCTGGCTATGCTCTCTAGAGCCAGCTGTGCCCGCCCTCTTCCATATCTGTACCTTCAATGAGCAGTGGAGGAACAGAGAGGGGAGGGGAAATCTATGTGGGACTGCTCTCTGCAGTGGTTTGTGATCACCCAGTTCTCGAGCTTTAGCTACAGTTTTGCATGCTGGCTCTGGGAAGAGTACATTTTACTCTCCTAATAGTTCTCCTTTCAAGGGTTATCAATTTTGACAGTAAACATTGATATAAATACATGCCAGATAGAAGATTACTGATATTGTGGTGTACCATTCAGCAGGGTGGCAGTACGGATGATCCGTTTGCATCTAGTAATCGTGGCTGCAAGTTGCCTAAAAATGTTTTTATTTAACTTTTAAGTAGAGTTCAGTACAGTGGGACCTTCTATATTCTGCCAACAAGAAAGTGATACTCGATAGAGCTGTACAATAAAGGTACTTTAGGAATACATGAGCCTTTTTTTCTCTGCAATATCCTGAAGCCAACACAGTGAGAAACAAAATGTTTTGAATGCAGAGCACAGAGTGATAACTAATTTCTGCTATATTTGAAAGAGGTATTTGTTTGGAAGCAAAGCCACAGTATTTATATGTTTCTGATTCTCATCAGTTTGTCATCTAGTTTCTTATACTTTAAAATGAAAACTGCTTCTTAGTCATGTATATTTTATTTTCTAGGTACTGAACTGACATAATAACAATTTTATATTTGGTAATTTGAAAATTTACTGTTGAATATGTATGATACTGCTCAACATGGTTTGGAAGGCTGCTGTTGAATATGTATGATATTATTGAACGTGATGATGTATGATGTCTAGCTGTTGTGAACAGGATAATATTGAGCTGTTGTTGAGCTAGCTGAGAGAGCATACAGGGAGATCCTGTTGAATTGTCATGTTTTTCTCATGCCAGCCCATGCTGTTGTCTATACAAATGTAAAGCAACCCACTACATTCAGAAAAATTATTAACATTGGAATATGATTAATTAGCAGGAACTCTGAAGTTCCTACTCATACAGTCATCAGAAAAATTAAGTACACCCCACATGAATTGTTTTGTTTTTTCAACATATTTAAACAAGTAAACATTTATTCAAACAATGCCTACAGGTAAAAGTAATATAATTGACTAGCAACAAAGAAAAATGCCTTTGCAATACCTTATTCAACACAAATATCAATAGATGTAATGATGTACTGTGGGAAAAAAAAGTACACTCTTACTATAAAACGCTGGTGTTGTCCCTGGTGGCAAACATTACTTATTGTGGGCATTTTTATAACTGGCACACATTTTCTCATAACTGATCAGTGGATGTACATTTTTTTATAACTGCCCTCTAGTCTCTGACATTGACTCTGTGTCAATGCTTAGCGGGACTGATATGTCTGATATTGTGCCTTTAATAAATAAGGAAGATTTTAACTGGATCCAGAACTGTGTGCAAACACTTTTTTTCTACTGATTATGACAAAGGGCTGGTGGAAGCCTTGGTTGTGCATTGGTGTACCATGGAACTGCATTAGAGGAAGGAGGTAGAGCACTTTTCTGTTTGTCTTACTTTTTCTGTTACTGTGACCAAACTGGTCTATCTGTGATTGATCAGTCTTTAGCACGTTGTTCCAGAAGGCCTTGTCTTTGCATATATGTTCAATGGAGAACTAATCTTGCTCTCATGTTCTTTTTGGACACAAAGTCACCCCTCTCATGCAGGTTGAATGGTCCAATCTCTTTCTGATTGTAGATGCATGCACTTTGACCCCAACTGTTGCAAGAATTACCTCAACAACCCACAATGAACATTTGGGGTTCTCAGAGATCTTTTTAGCATTACATTATCGTGGGTTGAATTTGCTGGGCCGGTCAGTCCTAGACAAAATAGCAGCTGTTTGAAATCTATGCCACTTGTACATTATTTGCCAGACTCCTTGTCATCCACAACTTTTCTGAGAGCCTCAAAGAGCTCTATTGATCTTGGCATATTGACACCATGCAATAGCTCAGAGAATGCAAAACCCTATATGTCTTAGGTTTAAATAAGTCACCTGCATATCGACACATAATATGGAATTCTAATCTCATGGATGTAAAATAATGGTAAATATAGGGGTGTACTTACCTTTTTCATATGATGAATCTGCATTTTGGTTTATTTAGGTAATGAAAATGAATACACTATGTCACATTTAGGTGCCATTTGTATAATGTAGCTATTCCCTGGGTTCCCTAAAATCTAAGGCACTCTGATATGCAAACATCATATTGTTTCCTAAAATTGAAGGCTGGCTTACACCCTCCCACTTCCAGTGTAACTCCACTTTTGTTGAGGCAAAACAACCCTCTGGGTGATTAATGTACATTGAAAGGATTGTAATAAACTTTGTAGCATATTTCTACCTTTTGTTGTTCTGAAGAAAAAGCTGTTTGTTTCACTATGTCTTTTACAGACTGTCTCCTGAGTAGGAGGGTTTGTGATTAATGTACCAACCTGGTTAACTTTAGCAGTCTAATAAAAAAGATTGCAGGGTCTGCGTCCCTTTACAAGTAGGTAACCTTTAGCGAGTGTCTCCCCAAAAACAAAATTCCTATTGCAGTGGATGCCTGAAACTTGTATCTTAGTGCAGATGTGTGAGAAAATCAGAAAGCCAATTACACAAGCAGAAAATTATATTGCTGGTGGCATTAATGCCTCCAGGTTGCCATATTGCGTTGATTTTTAAAAAAAAACTGTTTTAGAAAATTACAGCTGCTTCAGATTATATATAAGATATTTCTATCAACATTAAATAAGGCTTGTGTTGCAAGTGTATACGCTATAGTGT